GTTAGTATTTGAACGGTTTTTCAAATAAACAGTTAACCAACAGCTGCAGGAAAACAAGAGCAAAAGATGAAATAATCAAGTACCGTGGGTAGCTGATGGTGAGAAGCTACACTGTAGTCTTCCATACCATGAGCTGGGGCTGTGTGAACTAATCCTGTTCCTTTTGCCATTGTCACATGATTTGCAGGTAACAGAGGAGATACTCTGCCAGGAATTGTGGGATGAGCGCAAGAACCATCAGCTAAATCTATACCTAGGGTAGGGAAAAAACAAACAAACAAACAGGAAAAATGGAGAAAGCAGAGAAACAATTCATGGAATCAGCTTATCAGAGAGCAGAAATGGAATAAATGACTGTATGCACAGGATACTTTTCATAGGTACTGCTATTTTATCTTATTCGTAGGTTCCCACCCACATGCTTTCAAATTCTCTGTATTTTTAATTTTGCACATGTTTTTCTTTGAAATAATGGCTTCTCTCTACCTTAGACAATATTCCAATAACAGTGATATTCCACTTAGAGATACTCTTTGCATTCCCATTTCTTAGGGACTGCTATCTCAGTGTTTTACAAACAGATCTCAGAGTAGGATTATTAAGTAGAGAAACTGATAAAAAGGTATGGAAAAACAGCAGAATAATGTAAAAAGAAAAAGTTATTGAAATAGATTTCTCACCTCCTTTAGATACATGTATTTCCCTGAATCACATATATAGGCAAATGACTAAAATCCATAAATGACACAATAAATAACTTCAAAATACTGAATCAGAAGTCTGCCTATTACTAAATATTACTATGCAGTATGTTAGGATACAAACTTAACTGCTTTAGTTTCTCAGTACAAATATCTCAATCATCCTCATGAAAAAGGCTTAAGACATTGAGACAACAAAGTACAACAGTGAGAACTGAAGTGTACTAAATGACAGTACTGGCTGATAGCACCAGCAGTTACACTGCACTAGGTATTTTTTTTCCAGTAGTTTTCACATTATTTAGCAATCAGGCAGTCAGTAAGCATACTTGTAACCGGTTCCTTGTTCTCATCGGCATGGGTTGAAAGACAGATGAACTGCAGTCAGTATAAATAAGATTTTGATCCTTTTGTTTAAATTTTTCAAGTGCAAATCCAGATTTTAAAAAGTAATTTGAAATCGACGACTGAGAATTTCAGCTACAATACACCAATACCAAGTCTGACAGACTACTCTTTGTACTATTTAAGTAAAGCATGTTCATGTAATATAAAAAAGTCAAAACGAAGCAATTTTCAATTACAAGATTTCTAAGCTACTTAATATAAGCAATATTAAAATCTACCTTTACACGTTGATATAACCTCAAACTGTGTGTCCAAAACAGCCGCTGTAGATTCAACTCTATCTGCAGCTAGAATTAAGTGTTCACCAGTAGTTGCACACTTCACAACTGAATATCTACAATGTAAATATAGACTTATGATACTAATAATTACAAAAATCATAAAGCTCAAACATGAACATAATGTCTAAAATACAGCAGAAGACTTTAAAGATGTACATATCCAATTCACTTTTAAATTCCAAAAGAATTTCAAGATAGCACAGCATCAGAAAGAAGAATTAACTAGAAATGAGAACAGAAATTAATGCATTAATTGAGCTAAGAATGAGGTTTACAATTGCATCACTTAAAAAACGATGCCTTAAGAAATGTAATGGTAGTTCAAAATGTTTTAACTTCGCTGATAAATATTGATAAGAATGATGAGATCAAGTTAAACACACGTACTCTGCATCTGGCATGTAGCAAACTGCTTGATTCGCAGGCACAGTCCAAGGTTGTGTGGTCCAGACCAGCACACTGGTAGGGGATGATCCATCTAAAGACGTAAATTGGAAGAACTTTACTTAAAATTATGATAAAAATAAGAACTGTCAGTCTTAATATCTGCACGGAAGTCATACCTATCACAGAGGCCAGCTTAGGTGGTGATTTCAGCAGGGGAAATTTCATGTACACAGAACGACTGACATGCTGCTCGTTGTATTCAAGCTCTGCTTCAGCCAAGGCTGTTCTGGGTAGTTAACAAACATAAGTTAATATGCTTAAGCATGAAAAGCTACTGATAGCCTTGCTAAAATTTAGAAGGCAAAACACTAAGTTGATTCTTACTTTGCTGAAGGAGACCAAAACACAGGTTTATAGTCCTGATAAATGAAACCCTAACAAGGAAAGGGAAAGGAAAACAAATGTTAAGAGACTCAAAAGTCATAAAACAAATCAAAACATACGTACTTCATGAGCAAGTCAGCATTCAGCATACCTTATCATACATTTTGTGGAAGACTCTCAGCTGGTTAGCTTCATACTTTGGATCAAATGTACAATAGCAGTTGGCCCAATCTGCCATGATGCCCCAACGAATGAAGGCAGCTTTCTGTTTCTCAATGGCTCTTTCTGCAAATTCTTTAGCTGAAAGGTATAGTTCAATTAATTATATGCTCTCATCCACTAAAGTCAGTATAGAAACATTTAAAATATACTATTAACATATTTAAGAGGCTGAGCTGAACATACAGAAATTATACACTAACTACTGATGTGCATTATATAGATTAATCAAGCTAAAGTATATAGATATTTCAGAGTAGTGACATAAAGTAACTGCAAGAGGTAAAAAGATACAGCTAAGTAAAGCAGAAAACTAAACCCTCTGTTTTTTTGTTTTTATTTTTAAATTCTTGGTCAGTGTTACACACGTTCATTACAACAACAAATTCAGCCTGTGTTGAGTCACGTTGCTCCTAATATTATATTTTACACAGTATGCTTAGAAAATAGATACAGTGGCCTTAGAAAATATCAGCAATACCTGATATTAACAGCTTACAGTAAAGTAGAAAAACTATATATAAAATTCAAAATATAGTGAGTAATACGTAGAAATGCTTAAGCCAACTTTTCAAATATAGATACTGCAAACAGTACTTTACCTTTTTGTCTAATTTCCACTGGTGACAGATTTTCAGCTCCTTTGACTTCTGACAATGCCTTCAATTCAATTGGCAATCCATGACAATCCCATCCTGGCACATAATGCACTTTATAGCCTCTCATCATGTGGAAACGATTAGTGATGTCTTTCAAAATCTGAAAGGACAGAAGGTTAGCACTGCAGCTCCCCCACGTGGAGTCGGGACAGTATGACTAAAGATTCTTTTATTAAAAACAAATACTAAAGGGAACATAATTAATTTACATCGAAGGCCACATGTTTCTGATTCTCCTTGGTCATCTTTTTGCACTTTGGCAGAACTTCAAAGATTTCCCATCAAAAGAAATCACACTCTGGAAAAATGAAAGATCAGATATAAACTTGCAGGACTTGAAGTGAACAAATCCTGCTTGCCCTCAAGCATTTAGCAAGACCTGCAGTGTCTGCCTAGTGCACACACTATTGTTTCTTGATATCAATGACCACTTACCAAAATGAGAGGCTTTCATAAATGTAAGTTTTTACACCAGAACCTTAAGAAGCTGTAGGAAACATTTTACTTATTCCCATTCAGTAGCATTTCTAAGACTATCACTCTCAAGCTGGAATCTAAACACACCCAAGCATATTAAGCATCATTATTTGAAACTGAAATGCTTATTTTAAAAGGCACTAACATTTCATCAGTGGTTCTATTAAGGGTACCAAGATAAAGAACAAATGCAATACAACAAGGTTGCAAGATACCCTAAGGAAAAAAAGAACCCCAAGGCACAGCTCAACCATGCACTACAGTAACTGTGTGTATGTGTTAGAAGTGCATGACCAAAAATAAACATTCACTCAAATGTGTGATAACAAACACAAGCTGCATTTAATATCAAATATCCTCTAGGAATGGATTTTCTCTAAAAATATTTTCTTGTTTTTCAGAAACAGCCTCAGATGAACACTCAGCACACAGGTACTGTTTACTACTGCATATAGTGTTTGTCATGGCAGTGTCTTCATACCGCTATGGTGTCTTACAGCATCTCTATCACTTGCTTTTGCCCACAAAATGAAAATTAAAAGCCCTGAATACCAAAATTAACCCGAACATTTGGAAGGGTTATTAATAATAAATGGCAATGGAGAGTATGCAGTGTGTTACAGGAAGCATTTATCATTTCAAAACAGACCAGCATCGCAGAATTATAGATTGGTTTGGGTTGGAAGAGACCTCAAAGCCTACCCCCAGCCATGGGCAGGGCTGCACCCCCCAGCTCAGCTGCCCAGGACCCCATCCAGCCTGGCCTGGAGCACCTCCAGTGACAGGGCACCACAGCAATATGGGCAGCTGTGCCATGGCCTCACCACCCTCTGAGTTTATTTTCCCCAGCAGTATGTATACAAGTAGGTATTTACTTTATTTAAAGCATGGCCAACGTGAGGGTCTCCATTGGCATACGGCGGTCCATCATGAAGACAGAACTCCTGCTTGGCTTTCCTTTGCCTTTGCCACGAATACAGCTCCAAGAAACCACTTTTCTGTGGAGACAAGAGGAAAACACCCAAACTGTCACACCTCGGTGCACTTCCCAAAGTCGAGTGGCAAAGCACTTTAAAAACAGACCAAAACGAAGCACGCTCCGGGCGGAGGCGCAGCCCAAGTTGCGGCACGACCCCCGCCCTGCCGGCCCCGCACCTGCTGTATTTCCAGCTCGGTGTCGGGCTGCAGCCGGCCCGGCAGCTGTGCGGCAAAGCGGCTGTGCGGCAGCAGCACCGTGTCCCGGTACTGCGACTCCTGCCGGCTCTCCTCCGCAGGCTGCCGGCTGTCGGCCTCCGAGGCGGCCGACCGCGCCCAACCACACGCAGGCCCAAAGCGGGCGCGAAGCCGTAGCCGCGGCGCGGCCCGCCATGCCCCCAGCATCTTCACGGCTCCAAGGGCCGCGCACGGCGGGCACTTCCGGCTGCACTACGGCGAGCGGGGAGGCGGGGACGGGTCGCCAGAAGGGACACGCTGCGCCGCAACGCGTTTTGTTTTCCCTTCGCGGCGAAGCGCTGCTCCGAGCGCGGGGCTGAGGGGCGGCTGTGGGCTGCGATAGGATACTGTAGGCTGCCGGGAGCTGAGGGAGCGTGAGGAGCTCAGCGTCCGCTGTGAGGTGGAGGTGAGCGGGGCTGCGGGACGGTGCTTCACAGATCGTCTGGGCTGGGCTGAGGGCTGCCGTCCTGTTGTATGGTGGTGGTTTTAGGTCGGAGTGTGAGCTTAGAACTGCAGGACACGTCTGTTTTAATAGCCCTGAAAGCGAGCTGACTTGGCAGCGACGCTCAGTGTGTTCAGCTGTATTCGGTGATTTGGTTGCTTAGGCTAAAGGATGGACTGCCTACGAAACGTGCTTTGAAAGTAATGCTCAGATTTAAGAGCAGATTTAAGATTTCTCTTGGCAAACGTTCTGTCCAAGCCCAAACCTGTTGTTCCAAAGCGAGCTGTTAGAATGTTGAACGTGGTGTAGAAATGTACGCTCGGCACTGTCCTCGCCAGAAGGAGCGTGTAAAAGTGTGGCACACCAGGGTTGGTGCCGCACAGCAGATGCAGCTCTGTGAAACAGAAGGCACCCCTTGCTGCAGGAGCACGTTTGCGCTTTGTTAGCTGCTCAGCACTAGGGAAGGCAGTGTTGAACCCGCTGTTTCTGTTTCTCTTTAATAAATCCTGTTTTTCATAAGAATATTTGAATTGTAGGTGTTACTGAAAGATTTCCCTACAGAGAGGAAGTAGGTTTGTTTCTGTCAGAATGGGCACGGTGAACATTCAATTTTCCTTCCTGCTAACTTATTTCTTGTGGCGGTGTGTTCTACATCTTGCCATGTGCTGTGACACGTATTTGCTCCACCACTTTTCAGTCCTTTCAGAGCTGCTTTTTCTTTTTTTGGCCTCAGATAGCATTTCCAAAATCTGTCCTGTGACTGCTGTTGCCTGTCCAAGACAGACAGCTTTGGGGCTGGACCTTGGCTATTCCACGTGAGTTTGAAGCACATTGCTCCCATTTATGAGCTGTAAATAATAATTAACATTAGCTACTGTGCTTTCTGAAAATAGTTCCTCAATCAACCTACTCTTTCAGCTTCAGAGTTCTGGCCTTTAGAGAAACCTATACAATGTTTCTAAATGCTGAGAAGGTTCTAAAACCAGCTACATTTGGGATTTTGATACCTCTAACATTGCTCTTTGCATTTGCTCTAAGCAGAGGTGAAACTGGGGTCACATCTATACAGTAGCTGTAGACCACATTATAGACCTTGTATTATACTGAGTAGATAAGCAAGAAAGGAGGTGTGTTGTGTAGTGACCTGTTGTACCGTGACTTGTGCAACACTTGCAGCAAAGGCTGCAAACAGTCTGTGACTCTGAAAGAAGCCTAATGTTTATTGTGTTCCGTTCAGGGATTAATTATTTCCTCTGTGTTTTTTCTAGTTCTGTGCTCAAGTGTTTTACCTGGAATTAAGTCATGTACGTGAGCTCAACTCAAAAAGCATGCAGTAGAAGAACGGATAGGAAAACATAAAAAGCAATGAGCTCTGCATTTTAAAGAATACAGAACGGTTGTCAGTACATCTTACTCCTCAGGCAGAGAAAACCTGGGAGGAAAGGGTGATTATTGGCTTTTAGTTACAGCTATAGTTATTCTTCAGTTTGGGAACTGAGGGCATAATGGATTGCACCAAAATGTTCTGGGGAACAGATGTAGACAATGCAGTGACAGGACATACAGTGTTGAGAAAAGGAATGTAGTAGATTTTCTTAAAGAAATCAAGAGAAGTTCAAGAAATATAGAAAGAATGGTAAAATTTAGGTGAACAGATTTTCACGTACAAGTGCAGTGTTTGCATTATTAACTTACTTTGTGTCCACAATCAGTCCACATACAAAAATCCATTTCTTTACAATAAAATAAAGGGTAAGTTGCTCTTGGCATCCTGTCCAGTAATTTTGTATTTGAGTTTAGCCACGAATGAACTTTGTAGGTTCAGAACTGAAAAAACTGAACTCAATACATGAGTGCTGTGTAGAGATTTCACTTTTTCATGGCTTTTATGATGGAGAAATTCTGCTGCTGTAGTTGTGTTGGGGTTTTTTATTGGTTAGTTTTTATTTAATGCCAATTAAGTGAGGAAACGTAGTTCCAGTGTCAGTATGTTGATATTAGAAATTTGTGTCTAAAGTAGCACAATATCCCTGTGTACCTTTTAATTGTATTTAAAAGTCACAGCTTACTGTTACTACTCTCAGAAAGTAATTCACTTTCCCTTTCTTATTCAGCTTAAACAAACTGCATCTGCTTGGAATGTTAAGTAAAATATTTTCCCTGTAAGTGTGCATGTTTTCTTTTTTGTTTCTTTTCAGCATTCAGTATGGCTTCTCCAACTCTGCTCATGCGTGTTGTTGCCTCTGCGTATTCTGTTGCAGAAAAAGCTGCAACAATTGTTAGAAAAGTAATGGCTGGAGGAGATCTGGGGATAGTAGAGAAGGTATTTCTTTAACTTTGTTTCAATTTCATTTCTCTTATCAAGATGCAAGTCAAACTAGTATTTTTGAAGGTAAACAACAAGGGAAGGAAATACAGTCAATCCCAAACTTCACCTCTTTGAATTGAGAACTATTCCTTGTAAAAGGATTTAATGAACACTGGAGTAGAAGTACATTTTAAATTGTATTCCTACAGGATGTTCAGACGCCATAAGAAACCATAATTTCGTCCCAATTCCCCTCCCAAAGCACGATCTTCAGATACCATGTCAGAATTTATAATAATGCATCTTTCCCATTAATTTCCATACCTGTGTTCTGACATCTGTAGTACAGGATACAGTATTATGCCATGTAATTCTGGATTAGGACAAATCAGTGTTTAATTTCTTAAAACAGAAATGAAATGTAGTTTTCCTAATAAGTCATACTTTTCAAAGTCATTTTGAATTGAAAAAAAAAACCCATGAAGTGACAGTCATCTGCACAATGTTTTTAATTGGCACTAACTTAGTATGCTGCACTGATGAAATGGGATCTGGGTATTGGCTGCAGTACTAGAATTGGTGGAATTAACTTTGAAGTTAGTTCTAGCCTTAATGAATACGCTACTATACTATATGCTGCATTAAGTATCTGTATTATTGCATAGAATCATAGCAATGTTTGGATTAGAGGAAACTTTAAATATCACCTAGTTCCAACCTCCTGCCATGGGCAGGGACGCCTCCTGTGAGACCAGGTTGCCCAAAGCTCCATCCAGTCCAGCCTTGAATGCTACAACCACAGCTTCTCTGGGCAACCTGTTCCAGTGTCTCACCACCCTCATGGTGAAGAATTTCTTCCTAACATCTAATATCCTCTTTTAGTTTAAAGACTTTTTACCCCTTGTCCTGTCACTCCTTCATAAAGAGTCCCTGTCCAGCTTTCTTTTTTCTCTTTGAGGATCCAGCTAGCTTAAGGTAATTTTAATACAAAAGTAAATGCTTGCTTTTATCAGTTTCACTGATTAATTCAGTTTCACTTAAAGAAATAAAAAGCAAAAATTTTAATTTTATTTCCCAGTGAAACAAAGATTGCTCAATCGTTTTCTAATGTAAGAAAACTGGCACATCTTGAACTCATATCAAATAAATATTTTTAAGTACAGTATAACAAAAACTATCAAAAGTAGCAGATGATGTAGCTTCTCAATAAAAACAGTGGTTACACCTACCTTATTTTTATGAATACTACAAACAGTCAAAATCAGATAAAAAACAGTGAGCAACGGGAAGGATTCTTGTTGGAGGATTTAGCAATCGCAGAGAATTCCTGCAATCTTTTTATCAAATGTGGCTGGGAAAGAAAAAGAGAGTGTGAGAGTAAGAGTCTGGAGAGAAGAAATATGCAAAAGAATTTTTTCAAAAATTTCAAAAAAATTCTCATAATTCACCCTCTTCCTGCAATCAACAAACATCAAGACCAATTCCTGGCCTTATTGAATGAAAGCTTCAGAAAAGTTAGGAAGAGAATGTTCCACCTTTTCCCTCACAGCAGTGACCTCCCATCCATTTATCACAATGAGGAAAAAGTGGTGCAAGAACAGCTGAACTATTATCTGGCTCTTCCACTCCTTCTCCTGATTTTCAGAGTTTACTTCCTCTCAGTCAATTCTAATATCACCATTTATACTGCTTCTCTTTGTAACCTTTCTTTTTTTTCTTTTTTGTTACAAAGACATTTTGTCAAGCTATTTTCTTTTATTGATATTACTGATGACCATTTTGAAGAACTACTTTGTACTGGTTTTATTCATGTGTCATGGAAACGAGATCTGCAATAATTTGATCTATCAAGCTTGTGTCTAAAATAGCACTATATCCCTGTGTGTAAATCAGCACCAAATTTACCCAAAATTTATTAGAGGGTGAGCGGGGCTTTTCATACAACATATCAAGTCTTATAAGAGTAGGCAATTAGATAAGGGATGGACTAGGCTTGGAACATCCAAAAAAGTAACCCATAACTATCTTCCATTTCTGTGGTTAATTTCTGTAGCTAGATAAAGAAATTTTATGTCACCAAATAAGCAGTTTCATGAAGACTAAGGGTAGAAGACCATTATACTGTTTTTGTTATGTTTTGATGTATGTGAATTCTTCTCCTCCTTTTGACAGAGTGGAGCCAATGACTTGCAGACCAAAGCTGACCGACTGGTACAAATGAGCATCTGTGCTTCATTGACACGAAAGTTTCCCAAAGCAACAATCATAGGAGAAGAAGTAAGTACCTCATTTGTTTCATATTAACAATTTAGCTTGCTGTAACTTGCAGTGGAATATACTTTCAAGGTTTTAGAAAATCATCTCTTTGCAGCGGAAAAAAAAAAAAAGGGAATCTATCCCATTTTATTTTTCAGTACATTAGCTTTATCAAGTTGCAAGCAAACCAACAGCTCTAACTGAGATGAGTGCAGCACCTTTTTGTAATAATTTTGAGACTCCTTTTCGTAGGATCTACCTCCTGAAGAAGTAAATGAGGAATTAATTGAAGATGGCTACTGTGAAGAAATCCTAAAGAAAACTTGTCCTGCTCAGTACACAGGAATTAAAGAGGAAGAGGTAATTTTACACATATAACTTTGTGTTTTACGCTCCTCTATATTGCTTTGATTAAAAAAAAATAAAAATGATTTCAGTGTTGTCAGTTTCTCTTTTTGGTTTGATACTCATAAGTCATGAGTATCACGTTTCTAGAGCTGGAAACACTGAGTATCCCTTTGTGCAATAGTGAGAAATGGAAATTTGCTTCTGATTCAAATTTTTTAAAATGAACTGACTTTGGACATGAGAATATCATTCCCATGCTTAATTTAAGCCCTGATACCTCTGTTAAGATATTTCCTAACAAGTTCTCATTAGTTTTTTAGATTTTCTGTAAAATAGTAATAATGTAGGTTTCAGTCATATCACTGACTGAAAAATTGGAATATATTTATTTCTTTACAAAAGTAAATATATATACTAAAGTAAATATATATACTTTGCATGCTTAACTACATTATTTGTATTTGTTTATGCTGTTCTTTATTTTTTTAACAGCTTGTAATATGGGTTGATCCTTTGGATGGAACCAAAGAGTACACTGAAGGTTGGCTTCTCAGTTCTGCTGATTCAAGAAATTACTGCAGTGCAGTAAAGTACTACAGACATGTATATGGTTCATGATAGGAGTTACATACAGTATTACTTCATAAGGCTGACTTTGTTTCTGTACTTTATAAGTGCAATGGAAATTTTTAGTCATCACTCTCAGTCCTAACAGGTATAGAATAAACCTGATGGGGTATCAAGTTCCTATCAGTTTTTGTCAATTCAGGGAGCAAAAGGCTGCCTTAATTGCTGGCAGATTGTCTTAAAAGATTTTTACTCAAATAAATGTACATTTTCATACATACTTTGAACTGGAGAACTAAACCTCCTGTTCATACAAGTGTACGCTTAATTACATGTGCACCCTTTTCTTCAAACTATTCAAATGATGTCATTGTATTTGTAGTCATTTCAAGATAAAATAAAACCCTCCCCAAAATCATTATTATTAGGTTATGGAAAGAAATCATTCACAGAAAAGCCCAATTTGTGTCCATACAAATAGACTTTATAGTAAAGAAGAAAACACGAACAAAAATGCCATAAAATGTATGCCAAAACCTTGCCCTAATTTCCTGCTGCATCTTTTAGTTGATTAACATCAAATCTTTTAGTTATTTTTTTCCCGTTTTCAGGGAAGAGGTGTAGAACTGCCATAAAATTGCTGTTTCTGAAGACCAGTGAAGAATCTAGACTCCCATTTTTAGAAGAATATCATCACATATCATTACGTAGATGTATCTTTCAATTTTTCTCATTATGTGTTAATTAGAGCATAGTTCACACTAGAGAAATTCTTTCTGGGGCATGCTTTGAAGACCTTGAGGCATTATATCAAACAACCTATTACACCAGAAAATCCTGATTAGTGTTTGCATTTTTAAGATACCACTTTGCATATCAATTCATGAACTTTTATTGAAGGTTTACTTTCATTAATTTTTTCATTTAATGCTTTCTTTTTTTCAAGCATAACTACCTTCATATTGTTTCTGTACAGGTCTCCTTGACCATGTCACTGTTCTCATTGGAATTGCTTATGGAGGCAAAGCAATAGCTGGAGTTATTAATCAGCCATATTACAACTATGAGGTATTAAATGCACTGATTGGTTTGACAGTGCTAGGTGATTTGTAACTGTCTCTTCAGTGATATTTCCAGTTAGCAAACTTTCAACTGGAAAGCAGTGTGCATTGGAGTTAATGATGTAACAAAAGGAATTTTTTGTTTTGTTTTACATACACAAAGTTTTTAATGTTTATTTCCAAGAACTGAATCTCAAGGATCTGGTAACATTATACAGGGTTGTGTAGTATGACAGTATATGTCACATATGTACTGTACATATTAGTATAGTACATAACAAATTCCTATTTAGAAATAAGTATATATCCGTGTTCTTACAGTCTAGGCTACAGGTTCTTTACTAAATCCATACAATTTGTGATATGTGGTAACTGCCCTAAATCTGCAGCCATAAATAAACCTATCAGTGGTAGATAGGTTAGAGTGCATAAGGTCACATCTCAGGTTTAAGTCCAAGATGGTCAACCTACAACATTTGCATATATTGAGTTGAATACACTATTACATGTGTTAGTAGGAACAACCTCAGGATGTAGTCTGATTTATTAAACTTAGTAGATTGAAAGAAAAATCTCTTGAGCTAATATAATGCACATCAGCTGATTCTATGTGTTTATCATCTATATGATAAAACATAACAAAATGACAATGAAGGTATCGGTAACAGATTGTGCCTTAAAGAGAGAAATATGCAGCTATTAGTTTGTCAGTCATGGGAAGCAGAACGTCATGCATCACCATAATGTCACAGATTAGAAAACAGTAAACAATCTCCTGAAAGTTGGACATGTCATTGCCATAGATGGAAAGAGCTGAGGCATTCTGATTCCTCTGTCTGAACTGTAGAGTACTTCTTTTTAAGTGCCCCCATTTAAATGTATCTCAGTGTTAATAATATACTCCCTAAGATGGAACGATGTCTCTAGCTACTCTTTTCCATTTGTGCTTTAAACACTGGTCACTGTTGTTAACCATCATCTGGACTTTTCTGTAGGCAGGAGCTGATGCTGTATTGGGCAGAACAATCTGGGGAGTCCTGGGCATAGGTGCCTTTGGATTTCAGCTCACAGAAGTACCAGCTGGGAAACACATCATTGTTACCACCCGTTCGCATGGCAGTACTCTGGTAAACGACTGCATCAGTGCTTTGAACCCAGACAGCATTATCAGAGTTGGAGGAGCAGGAAACAAGGTATGGAAACTCTAAATCTTTTGGTTTGACTGGGAGGTTATATCTTTGGAAAAAGAAACAGAATTTTTAATGAAAAATTTGTTTACCTACATGAATATACAATGAATTTCCTCGTCTGTTCCTAGCACAGTCTGCCATGAGGTAGGGAGTCAAAATTCAGTACAGATAGATTTCTAACAAGGGCTGTGCTGGTCATGGCTGAGGTCCATCTTCATTTGTATCCTATTTCTGGGAGATACAGTAAAATTTATAAAAAGACTGGAATGACTAAATGAGAATACAGTTTAATCATAGTAAAGCTATTGCTCCAACTATCTAGAATCAAACATCTAAGGATAAAAATAGGAACAGCACAAAGTGATATCTTCTTTGCTGTTATTTTGAAAAGTTACTTTTGTCATAGTTGTCAAAAACAGACTGTTCTGTCTCTTTTGTCCAACATATGCACAGGCCCAAATGGCTCCAAGATAACACAGAGCCTGTTTCCATTTTTCCTTTTTATATTCTACAAGATAGGAAATTTTGTTTCTGCAATGAAAAGCAAATTTTCATCCTTTAGACTGTATTTATAACAATCACAAAAATAGATAATTCAGGATGGTTATAGAGTGTATCTTTCTCAAAGTTTACAAATATATATATATATATATATATATATATATATATACAATATATTTGTATATATTTGTAAACATTGAGAAAGGTACACACTCTCTCTCTCTCTCTCTATATGTGTGTGTGTAGTTATACCTGAAAGGATCTCATTTTCTAAAAGTAACAAACTGATCCTAAGCCCTGTTTCCTGGTGTTATTTTTTCCATGGTCCTAAATGTCTAGATCCTTTGAAATGATTGCCAATCTCTATTCATAACAGATCATTCAACTCATAGAAGGCAAAGCATCTGCTTATGTATTTGCCAGTCCTGGATGCAAGAAGTGGGATACCTGTGCACCTGAAGCTATTTTACATGCAGTGGGAGGTAAGTTAATAGCATTCAAAATCCTTTCCCAGGTAAGTGAAATGGCATCAATATAGGTTATTTAAACTTATCACAGGAAAAAATAAGAATTTTAAAACATGTATTTGGGAAGAAAAATGACTGTATGTATGTATTTTTAAATGATCATGATTCATTAGGGGGCTTTGAGCCCTTTTAAATAAGCAGCAACTTCAAAGGGGCAACAAATTATGCAGGATGATAGAATGGTTGAATTGGAAGGGACCTTAAAGATCATCTAGTTGCAACTCCCACACTGTGGGTAGAATGATGTGCTTCATAACAACATCATTTATTTATCTCTTCTGTAGTCTTCTCTACTGTGTTCAGAATGGGGATAGCTTTAAGCAGGTTAACTCAGACACAAAAAAACAACCAATCTGGGGCAGCACAGTGCTGTATTTAGCCTCCTTGTTATGCAGGTATCTTGTGGCTAAATTAGTTTGCATAAGGGTCTGTATTGCTCTTGCTAAGTGATTTCCAGAAACTCATTTAAGACCAGCCGGGGTATTTCTATATGATACTAAAGTTGGTGGTATATACATACCCTGTCTCTTACTTGAACTCAGGATTTTACTTTCTATCTATCAACTGCCAGTGTATGATCTACTCAGGAAGCATTTTAATTCATCCATAAGTGATAGCTGTAGTTTTCCAGAAACAAGGAATTTTAAATATTGCTGGTAGGAAACACACCTGCTTAGTTATTTACTATCAGTTGAGAAAAAGCTATTGTGCACAAACTAGGAGAAAAGATTAAATTTCACACCTAAAGACAGGTACATGTTTCTCAAGGGCTGCTTTTTGTTTGTTTGTTTGTTTTGTTTTATCACTTGTACTAATAAATTAGATTATCTCTCTCCAACTCCTTTTTACTGGAATATTTTTTTTCTTTGTTTTGCAGGCAAGATAACTGATATCCATGGAAACTCTTTTCAGTATAACAAAGAAGTAAAACACATGAATTCAGCTGGGGTCCTTGCCACTTTGAGAAATTATGACTATTATGCCAGTCGTATTCCTAACACAGTTAAACAATCCCTTGTGCCTTAAAGCACAAAGTATCTTCACTTGGCCTGGAAAGTTGAGAAGGTGAGATTGTAGAAAAATTAAAGAAAGAAGATAACTGAGCTTGAAATTGTTTTATGGAATCTGAATCTAATTCTTACATTAAGCCATTCAATAATTTCAAAATTACCTGCAGACTGTTTGATCAGATTGTTTTGCTATGTTTAGCAAATAATTTAATAACTACATTTCTTCAACTTTTGTTTTCCATATTCTTTGGAAATAGAGTATTCATTCCATGTGATATGACTGTGGTTAATGCACTGCTAATCATAACAACATAATTGAAAAGTCATCTTAGTATTCAGGGCACAAATTCATTTTAACTTATCTACCAAATTTTGTTTAGAGTTTTTTCTCATTTGTACTCAACAAGATTTTGTTGTGTTAAATAAATAAATGGATGGATGATCACATTTATAATAAAAGTGGATGGTTTTGATTCTTTCAAGTGAAATGTGATCTTTAAATGCATGTATTTGAGGATGAAGTGAAGTTGGTTTGGTTTTTGTTTGGCTTCCCTTATAGTTATAGGCCAAGATTCTCCCTTAAATACACACAATTTTTGAGGCAATATATTTCTCGCAGGATTTCTGTCATATACCTGTAGCAGCATTTAGTGTACACTGTGGTTCTCTCTATCTAGCAAAACTGTGGTAGTTTTTAGCTAATTCTAGGGGGTTCTTAGTTTCAAAATGATTTAGCTATTTAAAAGCCATTTTTGCAGCAGAAGATTCATTGAACTTAGGCAGTTGATAGTAATCTTTTCATCAGACTATTTTAGAATGATATACATTATTTTAATTGGTGAGTCTCTTAAACTTCTCCTCTACCTGTTCTCACTTTTTGAAAGACTGTCTTTCAATCAGTTCAAGCTATGTATCAACCAAGGTGAAGTTACATGCAAGTAGAGATGCTCTCTTTTCAGTGTAGCAATAGGAAACTTAAGTACAGGAGGTCTTACATGCAGGGAGCAGCTTGAAGTCATCCAGTTACTGAAATGACTTCTTTGAAATAGTCAGTTTCAAAGTGTAATTGAAAAAGTGTTGTGCTGTATTTCCTTCCATCCCCCATTTCTGACCTGCTGCCATCATAATGTAAGGCTATTGGATTTTCTTAATGCCTCAAGATCTTTACTTGCACTAATTGTACCCAAAAGTGATATGTAATACAATGTGCTTCTAGACACAAATGGAGGAACAAAGATTGCTTACCAAATTCTAAAATTTTAAACAGATCCAAACAATTAAAAACACTTTCTGGTCCCAAAGAATCCAAGGGAATAACCTTCATTAGGCTACTGTTATCCAGCTATCTCAGGAAAAGATGGGAGACTGAGCTTAAACAGGGGAAACATATGGTTTTCTTTCAGAAATAACAATTTAGTTTTGCTGATCAACTATTTGTGACCTGAATTGTCAAACTGCCAGCTTAAAGTGTCCTTTGTTATTCCGAAGAGAGAAGAAGAAGGCTGCTTCCATTAATTAATGACTGTGACTCATACTGAGGCATGCCATGAGTGGCTGCCAATTCCAATGGACTACACAGCTGTTTTCTTTCTCTGTTCTCTGTATGGATAGAAAAGTGGCATCTGTCAAGATCCAAGGTCTGTGGTATTAGGCAGGGTGCCTGAACTCAGTCCTTGCTTACTTAATGCCTGAATGCCCAGCATGACTTTTTTTCTTTAACCCCTGCTGACAAATGAATGGCAAAGTAGCCAAACCCCTTCAGTGTCCTCCTAATAACCACACTCTGGGTCTTTACATTAGCTCTGTAAAGCTGTAATATACAAAAAAATACATTTTCCATACAGCTCAAAATTTCAAAATTCAGTTTTCAACAGTGGTGAAGTTATGCATATTTCTTGTATTTAACACCTACAATTTACTTTTCAGATTGCATACAAGAGTCTTTGGATTCAATCCTTTCCTCATACTGGTAACGCCAACCTGACTTCAGTGCAGTATCTCCAGGCTTGCTCTGTTCTTAGGGCTAGATGACTTAAAGCAAGCAGGAACATCTTAATGCCAGATGATATGAATGAGACAACTCTTGCTGAAGAGTTCCTAGTCTCTTCATCTGCAAACATGGGAAAGGAACTGGGGAAGCTCTTTCCTCAGTGAGCAGAGCTTATCTTTACAATGTTTACAGATAAATTAGCAAGATTGTCACTTTACTTGACCTATCATCAGCCTGTCTTTGATGCTGTAATTACACTAAAAGCTGCATACAGAAGAACAACACATGCTTCTAATTCTTTCATCTAGAGCCTACCTGTCTTCTTTTTCTTCAAGTGTATGACTAGTAATAGCACGGAAGACAGATTCAGCCTGTTTTAATTAGAGCCTTCCTCATATTTTGGCTCCTTATAACTTTAGTCATTCCACAGGCTGATTGTGACTGAGGTATGAACCACCTAGCAAGTACAGATTAATTTTCATACTCAGTTATACATCCAGCTCAGGTTGGACATTAGGAGAAATTTCTCCTCAGAAAGACTGGTAATGCACTGGCATGGGCTGACCAGGGGGATGGTGGAATCACTGTCCCTGGAGGTCTTCAAGAAACATGGAGGTGTGACACTGAGGGACATGGTTAGTGGGCATAGTGGGGATGGGATAGTCTGAGTTGGTGAGCTTAGATGTCTTTTACAGCCTTAAAGATTCTATGATTCTGTAATTCTCATTTCTCCAGGATTCTTGGCTACTTTAGTATTCGTTTCAAAATTGGTATGTGAGTTTGTGAAAGAATTTAAAATGAGATACAGAATGATTTAAAGACAAAACCTGTGCTAATAAGTCTTTCCTTGTAATAATCATTCAAATGTAAAGTCAAGTCCAGAACCTACTGCTAGAAACACTCACCTGTGTGCTTATATCCTTAATCTATCTAACATCTGATGTATGCATATTAATCTCTGTGCTCATTTATGGTTGCTTCACTGAGTGTAGAGCATACACCATCCAATGTTTAAACGGACTTATGCGTGGAGCTATTTCCCATGCTCGTGGAAACCAGAATGCCTCTAAATATATGGAAAATGTGCAGCAAAACTCAACAGCAGGAGTCAAGGACACAGGTTGGCAGGGAAGCTCCAGTCACACACACAGTCACAGAATCGTTGGGGTTGGAAGGGACTTCTGGAAATCATTTAGTCTGGCTGTCCCACTGCCATGCTCCACCAATCATGTGTCCATGAGCTCTTCTGCCAGCAAATTGGTGCTGTAAAACAGTGTGAAAAAGCACAGGGACACTGCAATGTCCTTGCAGCAGTGTGAGCCAGAGCCTGCCTCCTACAGAAAACTGCTAGTGCAGTAGTTTTGTAATTAATTCTGAGATCAGATTGGTCTGCTGCTAGGCTTGCATGTGAGAAATATAAGACTGTAAGAGAACAGGGTAAGCTGTGTGCGATTCTTCTCCAAAAGAGCAGCGATACAGTGGCACAGGCTGCCTGGAGGTGGTGGAGTCACCGTCCCTGGAGGCGTTAAGAACTGTGGAGATGTGGCACTGAGGGCACAGTGTGGATGGGTTGACGACCTGACACCACGAGCTTAGAAGTCTTTTCCAATCTTAATGATTCGATGATTCTGTGCTCTTTTTTATTTGCTTACGTGACATAAAAGCAGCAAAAAAAAAAAACAACAAAACAAGCCCTGATGCTCCCGTCAGAGCCCAACCCTAAGAACGCTGGCGCATAACTCGCGCAAAGCTTCGCAGAAAGGCCGAGCCACGACGAACAGCAGCTGCCAAGCCCGCCCCGCTGCGGGAAGTGACGCGCCGGCTCCTCCCCCCCACGCCGGGGCCGCCGGAGGTGGTGCTGCCGCCGCGCTGGCGCTGCCTCCCGCCCCGCCCCGCCTCTCCCTGCTCTCTTCTCTGGTTCCGGCGTGGCGGCGGGGATGGCGGCGCTGAGCCTCACGGTGCAGGCGGACAGCCCCCCGCTCGGTAAGCGCGGGCCGGGCCCTCCCTTCCCCCACGCCCTCCCCCTTTCCTCGGGGTGCCTGCGGTCGCGCAAGGTGCCGCCGCGTTGCATCATGCGGAGCATTGCGGGCTCCGCACGCTGAACGGCCGCTCCCCGGCGGGCGGTGAGGGGCGGCCGCTGCCCGGCTGTCCTCGGGCTGCCTGCTTCCCCTCATCGGCTCCCTGGGTTGAGCTGCGAGCGTAGGGGCTGTGGAGCGTTTGTTGTTGTAGCTGATAATTGGCACTAGAGGTTTATTTGAGGGGGTTATGTAATGATGCTAGAAATATTACATCTTACGAGCGAAGCATGTTGGCAGCGTTTGTACGAGGCGGCCGAGCGCACGTCCCGCTCCTGCCTGCTCCGTGCTGCTCGTCATGGCTGCGCTGGGAGGCGTGTGCTAGCTATTAATGTCCCCAGTATTAATTGCACAGCGCGTCCGGTCTAATCCTTGTCATTTCCAAAGCCTTTCCGTGCTGTTAGCATACTTAGGGCCTTTCAGATGTGTTGCGTGAGCGATGTCACCCTGACTTTCACGTGTGGATAACAGGGGTAGGAGGACGTTAGCTTACTGTTCTCAGTGCCACAGGAGGCATTTGCACTGGGGTGGGAGCTGGGAGCTTCTAGCTACTTGTATGTAGGGCAGCGTATTAGTAGCTACACGCCATCGGCCTTGGGCAGTCTCTGTGTTGTTCTCAGGGAACGTGAAATGTGCAGCAAGGTTTCAGGTTGCTCAGGTATTAGGAGAAGTTTCTTCTCCAGAAGAGCAGTGATGCAGTGACACAGGCTGCCCAGGGAGGTGGTGGAGTCACTGTCCATAGGGGGGTTCAAGAAGTGTGGATGTGGCACGGAGGGACGTGGGTTGGGCGTAATGGTCTTAGTGGTCTTTCCCAATTATAATGATTCTGTGACTCTAAGAGGTAACAGGTTGGTTAGATGCCCTTCCAGACCTACAGCATAGCCCTCTGGCTGCTTTCATTGAAGTAATGCCCGTGCAAAGCTTGCTGTCTTTGTACGTGCTTGTGAGCAAAGCACACAAACACAAGCTCCTCTCCTCCAGCTCAGCAGGCAGGGTCTGGAGCAGAGCCAGCCCAGAAATAATGCAGCCACGTTAGCTTAGTGCTTTGTTCAAGCCGTTCCGCTGTGCTATGGAGCATCAAGATCTGAGCAGGTTGCGTTGAGCCACTTTGGATATGGACAGAGCTGTCCTCCAGCTGGTGAATAGCCTTAGAAGATCTTTTATTTCTGCACTGTCACTGGTGAGCTACTCTGAGGAGCCTCTCTAAGTTTCTTGTATTTGTCTTGAATAGAATTTCTCTGCAAGTCTTTTCATAAACATTAAATAGTGTTAAAAATATTGTCAGGGCTGTGGTGTTGTACACTTTGATACCATTCATATGAAACAGTTTGATTATGATCTCTTCATGTACTCAGGTACAGGAACTCATTTCTACAGTACCCTTAGGAAGCACAATGGGTTGCTGCTGACTGTTGCTGA